CCCGCTCCTGCCCTCGCTGGAGGAGCCAGCTTCTGCCAGGCTTGGGCCTCGCCTAGGCGTGGTCCCTGTGAGCTTCAGCCTCGGGCACGCGGTGGGGACATCACAGCCCGGCCACCAGGCCTGCATGGGATGGCTGGTGGAGGCACCTACGTCTCCAGGACTGCAATATAAAGCATATGTACTGCTTATGCCCTACTTAAATCTGCCTGAGAGAGCTCACATGGGGCTTTCACGGTACCGGGCCCATCATGCCTGGCCTCCCCGCGAGCACAGGTTTATTCCAAGCTCATTGAAAATAATCCAGAGCACTTACTCATTGCGAGCTGATGCCTGTGAGCGGCGCGGGTCCTGCCCAGCACCCAGGCAGGTTTGCTGCCTTCAAAGGCGAGCCTGTGCATCGAGGGCTCCCTTGCTGTACCTAAATACAAGTGTTTCTCTGTCTCATTCCTGTCTCTTTGACCACCTGGACAGTATTTTGCTGGATTTGGAAGGCTGGTGTTGTCTAGTGTGATTGTGAGTGGTTTTTATGTTGCAAGCTGCCTCATTAGGTCTTTTCTGACCCCAAAATACCCAAAGGTTTTATTGGTGTCGACTTAAGTTGCATGCACTTATTTTGCTGTAGCACAGGCATAGAGAAAAGATGGTGCAGCTGGCCCAGCTCTTCCTTTCTGAAATTCATAAGGCATGAAATCAGGGGGTGAATGCTCTGCTTTTCTGTGTTTGCAAAAGTGATGGGTTTTGTGTCAAGACAGGGAGGAACTTGGAACGTGGCTTTGATGGATGTTGCAAGGCAGTTGTGACAAGTGGAGGGCCCGCAGTGAGCCCTGCTGGCCTTCCTCCAGTTACACATGTGTTTTGATTACCAGCCTACCGCTGTGCGGAGTTGGCGCAATTTTTTCAGAGCGAGATGATATTTTTAAGAGCTCAGCAAAAATCTCTGTTTATGCTAAGAAACAGCTATACAAACTCGAGGGCAGCGGGGTTGAGCTGGGGCCGTGTTCTGCCACAGCGGCTCACGGTGCTAACAAGCATCTCTAGCACCAAGCAGATTCATTCCCGCAGAAAAGGAGCTGGTTTGGGTTTTTTTATTACTCTTGGAAAATGCGGATTCAATACCCACAGAGTCTGTTCTGCTGTGTCCGTGTGAGCATGCACTGCTGCAGCTAACTGGGAATGGCACTGGTGTCGAGTGGGAAATCCTTTCAAAACCACTTTCAAAACCTTGTCCAGATGCCTGATCAGCAAGGTTAATGCTGAGAAACCCCTTGATTTCCGTGCAGCTTTCCACACTGGCAGCACTGGCCAGCCCCCAGCCTTATCCCAGGGTGCTGCTGGATCACCCCAGCAGTTGTGGGGAGAACCCCCCCCGGGCTTGTGGTGGTGGTTACTGCTTATTGCCAGTAAGGCAACATGGTTTAACCCCCAAATCACACTGCAGAGGGGATGCCTGCTACACCTATGTGCTGTTTGCTTTTTCTTTGCATGAAGGTGGAGAAGTGTCCCTCCTGGCAGGTTCAGGGGCACCAGGGGGATGTGGTGCGCAGCAGAGGACTGGCAGCATGGCAGAGCAGAGCCGCTGCGGTTTGCAGACTTTATTAAAGTGTTTCTAGCAGCTCAGCAAGGGCTGAATACCCCTGCTGACTACTCCAGCGTGCGTTTCCAGGGGCAGGTTAGGAGGTTGGTGTAGCTGGGGAGTGTTTCACCAATGCTAGGTTTGGTCTAAGGCGAATGAGCTCTCTTGTGCTTTCTCTAAGGTGGTTCTGGGTCCTGGTGTGCAGATGAGGATTTATGGGTCCTTCTTGGCTCCTTTCACACGGTGCCTGGATTTTGGGGGATGTTTCCTGCCTATGTGTTCCTGACGGCTATGTTTTAGGTGATAATTAGCATGAGCAGGACGGTTGCTCGCTTGCAGATTGTATCTTGTGCTGTTGCTTTGCACAGCACCAGTGGCTGGGGGGATGTTTGGCTGCGCAGGAGATGTCGGGAAGCAGTAGTCTTCATTGTCATCTCGGGCTTCTTTTTGTGATATTTTTCGATACAGGAATGTCAACCTTTCACTTTGCTTGGGCGTGCTGAAATATTCACTGTTGGCATTAACCAGACTTGTTCTTAATTGGTATGAGCTGGGTTGGTTTCTTTTCCTGTGCCATATCCCAGCTAATAACTGGCCCCATGGGCTGCAGGATCCCCTTACAGCCCTGTTACCTGGGAAGATGTGGGTGACAGAAGCCTTTAGGAAGCGGCAGTAATCCCAGCACGCTCATCACTTGCCATTTCTCTATCTGCAGCAGCTGTGCTCTGGTGCATCCCTGCGCGCATCTCTGGCTGTGTCGCAGGATGGGCTTGCCGTGGTCTGGAATGAGCATGGTTAAAATGCAACTTCACTAAATGGCCTCTGCCCCAAATATTTCCTCTCTATGGAGAGGGGTAAAGCAGGTTACCTGTCTGGGGATGTCAGCCCCATCTCTGCTAGAGGACTTGTCTGGGTGGCAGCCCCCGAGCGCTGCTGGAGGAGAGCCAGGGGCTATGTTACGCTGCTGGGTTGTTACCAAGCGCAAACCTTCCTGTGCCTCTGCTCTGGCTCACTGCTTGCCCCCCTCACCTGGGCTCTGGGGAGGCTCACAGCCAGCTATCTGGCTGGGATGGAGGACCTTGATAAGAGTGGTGGAGGTAGGGGACTACCCGGTTTCATCAGGTTAATGGAAGGGTAGGGTCTGGAGAGGCTGGTTTTTTTCTGTTAGAGGAGCAAGTGAGGTGAGAAATTCCAGCTTTCATCTTATCGGGAGGGCCTGGGAAAGAAGCTAATGGAAACAGAGCTTTGCCCATGGTCAGATGGAAATCTCATGTATCAGCTTCTCCTTCCCTGTGTCCTGGCCATATCTGTTGCCCAGCCCATCCATCCTGGCATCCACTGGACAGGGACTGTGCGAAAGGCTTCTGCCTTCCAGATAAGAGAGGAGAGAAGCACAGAGCTGAATTGGTCCAGAAGAAGCACCCACAGATACCAGGGATGGAAAAGACCTGTAGGGTCACCAATCCCTCACTCCCGCCTGGTCCTTCTGTGTTGAGGGAAAAGCGGCTGGAAACTCATAAATGCTGGCAGGGAGCTATGGAAGGAGATGGGATAACTGCAACTGCTGCTTTACTTGCTTTTTTGGTTTGGCGCTTTTTTTTTTGGCACATGGCTGGTTTTCAAGGGAACGTTGCCTTTATAATCACCGTGGTGAAATCTCACGACTTTACTCTAAAGCTCAAGATACTTGATACTGTCCTGAAGACCTCCTAGAGTCATATGTGCTGTGGTAATCTCAGTGTTTATATAAATTAGACTTAGTGACCTCTGCTTTATGGGCGTCACAACTGCAGAGCAAAGCTTGAACCCTGAAGCTTAAAAGGCCACAAAACCAGAAGGCAAATAAAAAGGAACCGATATTTGTTCCTGTTTTAAAATATCAGTATTTTTAAGCCAGTTGCATGATGCTTGGGGCCCTGACTCACAACTTCTGAATGCTTTAAGTTGGCCAAGTGTAATAATCTTCAGAAAACCTTTCCTTTCCTAGATGTGCAGCTATTCCTGAATGGTGTCTTTGCTAACTTTCCTTAGGTGCGTGTTCAGAGAGTCACAGCTTGTCAGGTAAAAGGGCTTGGAAATAATCTAATTTAGTCTTTTGCACAACGCTGTGAATTAATTCCAGTTTATGAAACATTCAGTCCTGGTGATTATAACACTTTCCGTCTGGACAATCCATCATGGCCTTTACAGACTTGTTCCACTAGCTAATTGCCATCTCTGGCACGGATCTGCCTCTTAGGTTTAGCCTGTATTTTCTAGTTACCAGTTAGGATTTTGCAATATCTTTGTCAGATACAGTGAGGAACCCTGTGCTATCGGTCCTTTAACACAGTTAACAGATGGAGCCTGAAGCCCTGTAATTATTTCACTGGAAAGCTCACCTGGACACTGTTGCAGTACCAGCTGAGCCAGGGGCTAATCAGATATAATATCACCTCTGCAGTGCACTCAATGTTCCTCATTTACGTAGCTCATTAACACTTGCCATTTCAGGTATTGGGACCCCGGGAGCTCCCCATCTGGCTTGTTACCCGGTCAGGCATGGGAGGGTAGTCACAGCCCAGGACAGGATTGCCCACCATTTTACTGTAGTTTGCTGTGTTTATTCCTGGGTGGATGAACTTGGACCTGTTCAAGTCAATATTGTTTCTCTGTGCCCTGCTTAAGCAGTGATCCAGATCACTCAATGCAATGAATCCTCTTCATTGCTCCCAGTGGCCCTTGTCAGATCCTGGTGTCTTTTATCCAGAATGATTTCTTTCTCTGCACCATTAATAAAAAGCGTGTATATTGCAAATGAAGCCTTGAACTTTGTGGTTTCCACACCACTGCTTGTTGAGGGGACTTCATTCATGGCTACACGCAGAAGTCAGTCATGCAGGCACCTTTTAATTCTGATTTAATCCATGCATTTTAAAAGATGGCATGTGACTGAAGAGTAAATCTGGGCTGGTTTTAAAGATATCCCAGTTTTTTATGTGCTTCATAAAATTCCACCCTGCCTGGATGTAGAAGCCTATATTTAACTGCCGGAATAGTCTGTGGCTTCTCTGGTTATTTGTGTATTAACCCCCCCACACACACATTAGTGCTGTTTTCGGACAACCTGTTGATATTTACTCATTCAACCACATGTCTGTGGCCACTGAGGGGATTACAAGGAGCTCCTTTTCCTCCTCGAGACACCCCAGGCAGGCGGGCGTGCTGGCAGTGTGGCCAAGGCGAGGGATGTCA